TCTGATTCCTGGTTGATGGGACAGGTGTTGTGAATGAAATGGTGCCCAGGTTTGAAAGAGCTCCTGTGTGTCACTGAATGTGTGCATTGATGACTGAAAGACATCTCTGCTTTCGTTTATCTGTTTACTACAGTCTGTTGAATTCATGTTAATGTGTATTTAAAGACATTTTAATTAGTGCAAAAAATTGCAGGAGGGAATATAAAAAAAAGTAATCAACCAAGACTTTCGCGACCCCCATGCAGTACCTCCGCGGACCCCCTAGGGGTCCCGGACCCCCTGTTGAAGACCTCTGCTTTATACCATTGCCTGCTTTGGGGAGTGTAGGTCTAGTTGTTAGTGCTTGGAATCCTGAGGTTCTGAGTTCAAGCTCCACTCCCGCTGACTTACTGAGCAAAGACCCTTAACCCCACACAGCACAAAGGCAGCCCACTGCTCCTCAAGGTAATGCAGAGAGTTCATTTCGCTACTCTGTACTTGTGACATTGTAATGAATAAACCGAACAGAAAAAATATTCTGCTTGGGAAGAAACGCAAATATAGTCATAATATCACCAACAAACTGTAAGTGATGTATTGGTGTTGCAACTCTCAGAGGGACAGCTGCGGAGCATTGGAGAAGTGCAATCTTGTAAATTTACAGCATCTCTGTAGAATTAACTGATTTTGATCCAAGTTTTATCTGCAAGATTCAATCAGTCTGATGCAGACCATCAAAGTACATCAAAGTACATGCATGGTAAAAATCTAAATGAATAGCATATGATGGGGCGTGTGTCTATTAAATAAGCAGAAATGTATTAATGATTCCGTGCAGAAAAAAAAAGTGAAATATTGGCAAAAAAGTTTCATCTTGTTCTGCTCTGAAGGTTTTTTTTTAAAACTAAAATTGTCTAACTTTTTAAACATTTTAATAGAGCTACATAAAACTGCAGGATATCCAAGTAAGTACCTTCTCTTCGTTTTTTTTCTGCGTCAGCCAAACTGCAGCTAGCCGATCCTCTGCGTTGTTGAAAAAACTCCAGTGGTCCTGAAATCAATGAAGGAAGAGAAACATTTCTAAGAGAACCTTCTCTAAAACACACAACCAGGTTTGTGGCTTAAAGGTATAGTGGATGATCTTTTATTTAGATAGACATTACCTTTAAATTTCATCTGAAATAATCTACCAAATATCACCTGCAGGTGCAGTAATGCAATGGATTTAGCTTTAACTGATCAAGCCAACCTCTAATGAAGTCCATAAAGTTTTTATCTAGTTTAATGTGATGACTGACTGCTGGGTAATTGAGAAGTGATGAGCTGCTGGTGTGTGTGACCCCTATAGCATGTGGCTATAACTACTGTCTGACAATATGGCTGCTTGTCACTTACAATTTTCTAAATTTAGGGGCTGCATCCTTTAAAGGTGGCATGCATAGACAGATGACGTCCCAAAGCTGCACAAAAGGCTGTCCTCCATTCTGTCTTTCTGGAATATCCTCAATCGCATCAGGGATATCCTTAATTGCTCAACATTTCTCACCTTGATTATGAAAATGAAGACCTCTCATCATCATCTAAATGATCATGTATTCATAGGTTTTACTTTAACTTCTGTCATATGCAATATAATATTCACACTTAGCTAAGAAAGAAAAAATGTACCTCCAGATTCCAGTAGGGAATCATCACACATTGTGTTGTTGATTTGCCGCAGCGCTTGGATGTCACTGTTGGGGCCTAAAACTTGTCTGACCTCCTCATCGTCCAGGTTAATCAGTTGAAGTAAAGTTGCAAAATGTCTCCTGAGTTTTAGCACTCGAAGTGTCGAAGGGTCCTCTGCGCCGCATTTTTTGGCATGTATCTGGACACAGAACGTCCCTTTATGGGGTGTTGGTGCTAGTTGTCGAGGAAACAAGTATTGGTTTGTGCTTAGAATCCTGCAGGCTTCCCGGACCTCTATCAGAAGCTCCAAGGACGACTCAAGTGAGGGCTTTAGAATAATGGGTACAACTCTGCCACAGCTCCCCCTGATGTTAATCCTACTGAACAAACAACAGAGTTTCTTTTCCAGCTTTGAGACAGACAGGTCCATGTCGTCGCAAACATTCGAACGTATCCGTGACTGGAAAGCCTCAACTGTAAGCGATGAGACCTCTCCAGGAAGTCTCCTGTTAAAAACTATCGTCCGAGCCAGAACCACCTTGGCCAGAGCTGCAAAGTTCTCTGGACAGACGTTCTCACGAAGCTTCTTGTCTGCCGCCTGATGAACTGTCTCCAGGTAGTAATGCAGACGTTTCACGTCTTGAACAGATGGCACCTCATTTGCTTTTTCCCTCTTAATGTCTTTGATATTCGATAACGCACAGGAGGTTATCTGCTTTGTCCATTTTTTGTGATACAAGGAGAGGAAAATTTGACAAGACTTCACGGCTTTAGTATCGCCACAACTCTGGGCATTGCGCTCAATGATGCCGCAGATTTTCTTAAGGTGGTATCCGAGTCTGAGGGCCAGTGATGCTCTGGCGTAGAGTTTTTTTTCCGGGTCATACCCGGTCAGCACCCTCACAGCAAACACCACATGTTTAAAGTTCGAAGGCTTAAAAAAGTCCTCCAAACTCTGCATCGGGGTTGACTTTTGAGCCTCAAGTAGAAGTCTTGCAACATGTCGAAGGTTTTGCCTGACATACTCCTGCTTCTTTACATCTTGAGTGTTCTTATTTAACATCTGCTCCTCAAACATCTGCTCTCCAAACTGTAACATAATCCGGTTTTCCATGACAGTTTCTGTCACATTGTCATACACCATCTTGCCAAGGAGATTCTTGAAATCCTCACTAACACCCTCACAGTTTTTAGTCAAAAGAGCACATTGTGATATGATCCTCTTTCGTCCCTCCTGCGGATTGTCTTCTTTCTTGATTTTTTGGGTGCATCTTTTCATATGAATGTGCATACGCTGCTTACGAATGAGACCATAACAGTAAATACAGTGAACATAATCCGTAGCATTACTGGGAATACTGGATCTAACTCGTACAGCGAGTTGTCCCTTCCCCGTTTTTAAAACATCTTTGTTGTGTTTAAAGTTCCCGTTGTTGATTAGCTTTTGCCATATATTTTTCCTTTCCTTTGAATTAGCAGGATACTGCAATGCGACCGCGACCTCAACCTGGTCGCCATGGACTCCTGTGAGGTGCCTTGCCATTTTGGTCAGGGGTCTCCCACAGAACAGACAGTAATTTAGCTTACTGTTATGACTTTTTGCAGTTCTTTTGATTGTTTGAACCACCACCATTCCAGACTTCTTCTTTTTCTTGACATTTCTTAAGGCCTTTTTTGAAGAACTGGCATATTCTTCCTCAGACAAAGTGTCCTCTGATATTTCCTCTTCTTTCACAATGTTGTTTGTGGGACTTGCTGTATTGCTCCGACTGAGATAATCCAAAGAGCCGCTATCAGATCGGGAATCTGAAAAACTGACTTCGCTCTGAGGAGCATAATCTGAGTCCACTTCCTAAAACAGGTAAGACAGAAATTCATCAATATTTCAAAAAGTCAGTTTTCTTGATAATATACTACAGGGTTTATACAGGAATGAGTAACTCTAATTTAATGCTG